TTAGGCTTTTCAGTTAATGTTGGGATAGCACCGAAAGAACTGTTAAAAATATTCTAAAAAAATGTGATATATGTCGTTTATATATTTTATTCTAAATTATTAAAAAAATTTCGACATAATTTAAACTATATTTGTTGACCAATATTTTCAAAAATTTGTTTATTTTTGTCTAACAAATTTATTGGCTCAAAATATGTAATTTTGAAACTCTATATACCTTACATTTTCAATTACCTTATAGAGATTAATAATTTTTTGTAATTTTATAATTTTTATTTTTTATCTAAAATTTAATTCAACTTTTTCCTTGAATATTTGAAATTTTATAGATTTTATTTCGTTTTTTTTTAATTTTTGAAATTTTATAGATTTTAATGAAAATAATTACAAAACACCCAAATGGATAAATATTTATGAAAAACATCAATTTTGTAGTTTTTAACATGTTTATATATACTTGGTGCGTATCATCATGCATTACATAATAGTCTGTGTAGTTTAGAAAACAATTATATAGATGGTTTACAGCATATTAGCCAATACTTGGTGTAGCTAATAATGATTTTTAAGATAAACAGGCGATTAATGCTCGTCATGGAGTTTTTAATTGCTTTTCGCATCCTCAATCCAATAAGCGTGGGGGGGGGGGGGGTATGAATACTTGCTTATCTATATCGATCAGAAACTATTGTAAGAATACAATTTCTACAATATGGCAAAACGGAATATTGCTTAGATTAATGATAAAAACCAGATACAAAATAACTTTGATTGATACCAAAATTACGATGAATGATGAACGGTTTGTGTGGAGGCAGACACTCTTTCCTTAATTATTTAATTGCCAGTAGTGTGCCGGTTTTTATGCAATCAGAATCTCAGGATAAAACCACACGATCGACTATTCCGCAACACTCGAAAATAGAAGCTAACGAACCAAAATTCTATGTGTACTCTCCGACACAAAAAACAAAATAAAAATTAAAAGAGAAGAAGAGATTGTGAGGGAATGCTTTATGTTGCGTGTTGTGAGAAGGACGATGGCTCCAACATATAGCCATACTCCAACGTTCGATAACAAAGGAGTTACAAGTGGAGTTATGAGAATTGATCTCAACTTTTAATTACACTAGGCCAATATCCGCGCATACGTGCGGGTTTTTATATACAAATTGTTTTCATTTCTTTTATTCTACAGTGTAAAAACTTATTTGATTTCTGTTTGAGTTATGTTTTTAGAGATTAAGGAAAGGATCTTAATTTTATTTTTACTTTGTTTTTCTCCAATTGCCTCTTTAGTTTGAGATACATTTGTTTGAGCAAAAACTATTACATTTTCCTTCGACTCTATCATGCATAACTATGAAGAACCTATGACACTATGTATATTAGTTTTACAAAAAATCTTTCAATCTTTTCTCGCATATTTTCTCATTTGATCTTCTCACCCGTAAGTGAAAAGCGCACGTTTCTTTATAGCATACACATCGAGAGCATACACTACAATAGATAAATAAAACTCTACGCATTTACTATAACATTCTCAAAAATGAAGATTGCTTGTGAACCAACTGGCAGCAAATGCACATACAATATTTACGTAATTTTTTTGACAAATAAATATATAAATCATGTGTTATTTTGGAATTCACTCAAATTGAATTTTTCGGGATATAATACTTATTCATCCCATTAAAAATTGTACCATGTTTGTGTTCTATAGTTTTACATAGAGATTTGATGTTTAGGACACAAATGAGATGCTTTATAATATAGCCAAAATGGATTACTTTGAATTGAAACATTGTCTCAATGTCAAATCTCGAATCATAACCCATACAACAAAAGCTAACACAATAATTTTTATCTTTTCTGTCAAGCTATTCACCACCAAAAATTGACTGTACCATACCATTTTTTCACTATTCTGTGAGGGATTTCAGAATGCATAGAGATAAGCATTTTATTGCCAAAGTGAATGCACCTTATAACCATTACTTTTCTTTCCACCTTATTCAACACGTTAGTGCATTTATAGCCTCAACTTTGCACTTATAGCCACACTATTCTGGAAGAGATTCCAGAATGCAGATTGGAAAGAGCTAAGCATTCTAAAAATCTCTTTAGACAATTTTAGGATGCATAACTGATCCTACAAATCCGGTCACAAGTTTGGTAGGTATTTTAGGATGTGTAATCTCTTTTAGTAATTTTGTACCCAACTGATTCAACAATCAAAAAGCTCTGACATACATCAAACTCAAACCTAACGTCCGTTTTTTTCCAGCCTCGACGAAAACCCTATCAAACCCAACCACTTGCTTCATATGCGTTCCCACGATTCCAACCGGTGGCTTAGAGTAAGCCATGACGACCTCTTCGCCATCTCTTTTCCCTATGTTCTTAACCGCAACGTTAACCGCTTCTTTTTCCTTGCCTTGCAAGTCATTCACCAAAACCGCAAGAGAAGCAACTACCGTATCGTCCTGTGGGTCCGTGTAGTTGATGTGGTGACAAAATTGTCTCTTCTCGAGCTTGATGTTCACTGGGATGACATGACCCGATGAAGACGCCTTGTACTTGAACTGAGTGTAGCTAAGTTCGTACCAGGGGCGGAGGCACTTACATGGAAGGGGGGTCATGTGACCCCTACTAATTTCAAAAAAACCATTATATATTTTCAATTTTATGATAATGACCCTGTTCAAATTTAATTTTTGACCCCCATAACCCAATCCCAATATAAAATCAATCTAAATACATAAGATAAACAAGCTCCATATACTAAAAACTGGGTTGACATTTAATTTTAAACTCAATTTTAATGTAAGTTTTCATAATTTACATAGGTTTAGTTAAAAAAATTCATCTAATTTAAAATTCTACAAAGAAAAT